GTTTCTTGAGGGACCTGAAAAGGAAGATGGATTAGTGTTGGTGCGTGACCGCAGAGTCCAAGGGACAACTGCTTCAGGCCGGTCACGCACGGCCTTTTTATGTGAGGTATTTAGAGGATTAGCTCCGTTCTTAAAGGCCCAGTGGGCACCCTTACCCAGGGAGACGAAAATCCGTGAGTTAGGGGAGGTGTGACATTTTTAGGGCCGACCTTTTCTAACCCTTCCTTCCTTGTGAGAAGGCAGCATCGCTGCAGATGCTGGTTGTCCGAGGGAAACACCTTACTGCTGTCACACCCCTCTGCAGTCAGCAGTACGACTTCGCCCTCAGACCTTGGGTAGCTGCTTTTAGTCACATCGTTTTCCAATCGACCTGCCTGGCATGGTAGAACCTTGAGGAACATATGTTCCAGCCAGTATAGCTCGGTTGGGTCATCACGATAGGCAAGCCCGACCACCACGTCAAGGTAGCAGCTTCGGTCGGGACACGTTTCAGTGACAGACACTGCACTAGAACCTCACGATCAATAGAGTTAAATGACGCCTTAAGGTAAAGAAATACTCAATGCGACATCAGAGCTGACGTTTTAGACACTATATTAGTCAAACTGATTCATCTGTGATTGCCACAAGAGGACTTCTGTCCCTCTTAGTGGACCGGAACAATGAGTAATTGAGACCAATCAGATGGGATTACACCCTGTTCCCAGATTCTACTTGAGATCTCAGTCAAAGTAACAACTAACCCGTAATGCTCAAAAACGGCGTGACCTAACATTTTTCATCTACCTGCGCTGCTAGTGCAAACGATGCGAACGTTGGACCTAAGTAGATCACACCGCTATAGGCCGTCGGTGAAGAGGCACTATTGACGGCTGCAGCTCATTCTGGACCATGCTCCAGTGCGAGTGATTATTTGTTTGTGCCTTACTGGACGCAAGGAAACCTGTTAGGGCTCTGCTTAATGGTGGCAAAGCTAAAATATATTTCAGAAACAACTAGAAAAACAGTTAGGCAGCCATGTAGTAAGTCAAGCCCACTCCCTAGAGTAAATCAGTCTGGTTTCCGACCTGGGCGTGGCTGTATAGACCACACTTCGACAGACGCTTGATGACGCATTGAGTATTTCTTTACCTTAAGGCGCCATTTTACTCTGTTGATCGTGAGATTCTGTGTTAGTGTCTGTCATTGAGAGGTGTACCGAAGAAGTACAATAACCTTATACAAGCTCTCTACTCAAACACCACTGGTCGGCTGAGAGCTTATGGTGAACTATCATCGGAATTCCTTACTTCAAGTGGTGTCCGTCAGGGATGTCTACTCTCTCCATTCTTGTTCAATTCAGTCGTAGACATGCTGCTAGATGCAACATTATCCGCCACTGAATTTTCAGTAGACCTTCTACCAGGGAAATCGCTTGATGACTTAGAATATGCCGATAACATAATCCTACTCGGTGAGGATGCTGACAAAATGCAGTCTTCTGACCACCCTAAGCAACAATGCTAGTATGTTCGGGATGCGGTTCTCCCCGTCGAAATGCGAAATGTTACTTCAAGACTGGGTTGTATCGGTACCTGAACTAGTGATAGGGAGTGAAGTAGTTGAGCGTGTTGACCGCTTCACTTGTATGGGGAGTCTCATCAGTGCTGATGTCCTGGTGTGTGACGAAGTCTCAGAACGGATACAGAAGGCTCGATTAGCTTTTGCCAACCTGCGTCACTTATGGCGTAGGCGAGATATCCGTTTGCTGACTAAAGGACGAGTGTACTGTGCAGTAGTTCGCTCCGCCTTACGTTTTCGCTATGAAACTGGTATTCTATCATAGGTGTCTCCGAAGCATACTTGTATGCAATGCTGTTATTAGGAAACGTGTACTATGTAAGGATGGCAGACCAATAGGTGAAGTAATGAAACTTCATCAGTTGAGGTGGTTGGGACATGTGTTACGAATGCCTCGTCAAGCTCTGTTTTGTGATGTAGGAATAGGTTGGACAGAAGCTAGGAGCGACCAGACCAAAACATGGCAGAAATCCATGAAATCACTGACAAGTGGATTGTGTCATGTCGGTAGGTGTCGACTACCTGGTTGGGGTCCGCGAGATGTTAGTAACCGATGGTTCGAGACCCTGAATGACATGGCTCAAAACCGTTTGCAATGGCACAGGTGCATTCATTCTTCGTGTTCTCTCAGATTCTAACCTGAATTCCTCATCATTTCTATCGTTCTCTTTCTAAAGTTATCTCACTGAATTATATTTCTTGAATCATATCTTGGAACCCTAATCTTCATTATTGCTAATACTTCTACTATCCCTATTACTATTGGGTTTGAACTGACAGTTGGGTCTATGTGTTAATGCGGTATGGCAACCTGAACTGATGTACATACTGACGAAGTTCTGCATCGAATCTAAATGGGATTATCAATTGAGATCGATCAGATGGGATTACGCCTGGTTCCTAAATTGTACTCTAGATCTTAGTCAATCAAACTGTCTGAGGACTGATATCGATTCGCCATTCATGATGACTCGATGTCGTGGGCAACCTAAGTATGGCTTAAGGCCAGTTGAGCTGATCCCTGGAGTGTTTTGCCCATCGATCCAATCTCGTGTATTGACATTGAATAATAAGCATATCCTTTCGGACATAGTCTCACTTAAAGTCGAATTCCTAATACCGGTTTCTTTGATAAGTCCGAACAGTTGTCTACTGTTGCCTATTATTGCTGCCTTTTCCATCTCTCTCGCTTTCTGTACTCACCACTGCTTGAGTGTAGAGTTTTACAACCTACTGATACCTTCAGATGCATAACCTACGAACTAAACCTGTTCATGATACTGCACCAGCTCTCAGTTACTTTAGAGTAATGAATCAATAGTATATTTAGAGATCAAATTTTTCGCTGGAACTCAAGCAATAGCGTCTGTACTTGTTATTCTAATTTATCCCTGGAAATTCTGCCTACGATATAACAGATGCATTTTTTATAAAGGATGAGGTTGTAGTAACAGTAGCATCGCAGTACAATCCTCTGATCAATTACTTATTCATCCACCTGGACTAGAGCCGTGTATGTTGTGTGAATAGCAGTGAGGTGTTTTTTCAACAAAGTCTGTTTATGGGCTGAATACGTAGTCGCTGTTGTTTGTTACTTGAACCTTATCTATGAGAACTAATTTGAATCTAAAGCTTGGTCATATCGCACTAAGTCAAGAAGTCTGTTTGCAAACAAGGTAAATTGCGTTTTCTGGAGAAACATCTAAGTTCAATGCAACCAGAAATGCACCAGTTGACTTATCCTATTCGGAAGCGGCTTTGTCATATCTGCACCATTACATATTAATTAATTCGGACCACCGAAAACAGGCAACATCTTGAAGTGGACAGGATTTTCACCACATTACGGTGATGAATTAATACTATTATTCTTACTCCTAAATACCATAAGGATTCTCTTCACTAAATAGGTATGGAATAGACACATCCGTCTTTGAATTTTCATCACCACTGTCGGTGTATGTGATATACAGAGATAAACGAGCAGTCAACTGTTTCACTAAATGTCAGGCATCTAATCTGCAAGTGGTAAGTTAGATAATGTATAACGAACTTAGGTTCGCAATAAGATAATGGTTTGGGCATTGTTATACTTATTTACTAGTACAAAAATGCTTATCGACTGGAATACAGAGCTTAAAGAAAAGACTGATGTGGTAGACGTTTCTATAGAGAACAATGCAGAGCAATTGTATGCGGGGATACTAACCCATCAAATAACGACTTTTCTGATATAATGAAGATTATGAATATAAAAGACCGCGATATTGTCCGTGTTCTGTAGAACTACATAAAATAATATTTCCCGGCAGAGAATTTTACATGACAAGACAGAAACTAAAATTATTTGTAGTGACATATATATAGTCGTCCTAACATTAAATTCTAAGGGGAACAATTAGATGCAAGTAGCCATTTTATGTTGATTAGCATTCACCTACTATTAGTTGCGCTTAAACAAAAACCAAATAAGTTTTCTAACGAAACACTTCACAGAAAGAATGGACTTGTCAATCATAGATCCCATTAGGAAAGCAGACAGCTAGATAAAGTGGATAACATCTATATGGGAGTATCTAAGATTAGTATCAACAGCATTTTGCAGGGAACAACGTAAATATTCAAAACCTTCTTTACAGATGTTACTTATCTTGTATCTGTTTAGAAATGAAGTTAATAACTCTTAACATTAGGAATTAGTTGATTTTTGGTACATCTGATGAATTTCATTTAGTTGGCAAGACCAATATTAGCTTTTTTAGGATTAGAACAAGATATTGCTAACTTTAGGCCTAGCAGATAGAAGTTGCGACACCAAGGTAGTACAATGAGATGAAACTGATGTAATGACAATAATAGAAAGAGCTAAAGCCTGAATAAGATTTAATGTGTAGAGGCATAAATTTTTAAAGAAACTGAAGACTAAAAGTTCATATGTGGAATTGTAACTTATTATGAGGCATGTGTCAGTCATCAACCGTAGGATGCAGCACGCAGTCAAGTTACTCGAGATCTATCAACCTGGTTGAAACAATCAGGTGATTCCTTGAACTTAGGCTATGCCTTGATTTGAATGCTTCTAACGACCTTACTCACTTATACACAATATTTAACCATTGCTATCAATAAGTAGATTTCCAAATAGATTAACTATAGAAATTGAAATAATTCCAAGTAATTGTGAACTGTGATAAAACAGTTGAACATTTCAGTTGTCTGGAGTCAGAGCTCTTTGTAAGTACCTCAGTCATTTGTAGGTAATGACAGATTTTTGCAAGTCGTTCAAAAAGGCCAGCTTTGAGATGCGGGATTACGCTTCCATAGGACTGCACACATTCGAAAAATACCTGGCTGTAAGTATCGAGCTATTAAAATTCTGTGTGAAGTAAACCAGTTGCAAATTTTATTCAAGACACGACAATAAACTGTTTAGAGAGTAATTATTATATGACTCTACGCTTGATATAATAAGGTTAAATCAGCAATGGACCTTTTCTTCTACATAATCGCTTATTTAACACCTTTTCTAGATTTAAAACCGATAGAATCATATCAGTTGGTATAGTATATTTTCGCAACGTATGTACATTGTGATTAGTAAGATTTACTCGTCTGGCTTAAACTTCTTCGATTTGGGTTGACTGTCTTCTTGTTTTAATTCTCGCTTAACTCCAGATAGCTTCGGGTTAAACTAAAAAAATATAAGTTATTCAAGTTCAACTTACAGTTCCAGCCTCTAACTGTCGAAGTCTTTTTTCTAAATATGCCCTTGCACGGATCCCCATTTCTGTATCAGCACCCTCTTCACCGAGAGCGTCCAGACGTGCAGATAATGACGTTTTAGCAGCTAGCATACGCGACATCTTACCTTTAAAATGGTTTTCGGACTGTGTCACCAGTGTTGCATGGTACAGAAGACCGTATTTGGGAGTGTTATGTCGCGTCTTTAATGCCCGAAACAATGCTTTTTCAGCTCCTAGTATCTGCACAGTTGAAGCAGGATGTTTAGCTAGATTTACAAGTGTTCCTGCCCGGGCTATCAGCCTTGCACCTAAAAGTTCACCAACGAGAGCTGTCAAATTCGGAGCTACTGCCACCATTCGCTTGATAAGATAATCATGGAGTTGGGTACGAGAGGCAGAAGCTTCAAGCACCTGATCGCAAAGTTCATTGATCATAGTAATATCTTCATCGATTACTTCTGTTCCTAACGAAACTATAGAAGCTTCTCTTATTTGACTAGCTATTTCATCTGGCACAAGATCTGATAGGTCAACACTGGAATTAGTTCTATGACCTGGGGAAATAATTAAAAGCAGATGACTTACCGATGCGTTTAACAACTTTGATGTAGGTCACATTATCCAAAACAATCTTCGATAATTCGGGAAAATGCCACCCATACATCTCTTTTGCACGCATTATATAGTTGTTTATTTCTTTGTCTAGCTCGTCCATAAGGCCTAACTTTATTAGAACTAAAAGCGAATTTACCGACTGCCTGAACTATCATGGTATCAATTTTGTCTGGGTTACATTTCAGTTTGTATCGATCAAGACTGTGAGCCAAACCCAAACGCATTCTCGTCATGTGACCATCTTCAACGACTGGGAGAAGACTATCCAAGTGCGTTCGGATCCCCCTCATTAGGTTTTGCACAAGAGAATCACTAAGTGTTGGTATATTCATTTTCGTCTGAAAAAGTCACAACCAGTAATCTTAACATACATTTATATCAACTGATAACTTCTTATCAGCTACTGCAAGTACATCATCTCTCAGCTCCTTGATATACAACTTCTTCAGAAGCTTTTTTAACTTTTTAGACAGTTTCCCTTCCACAATATCGGAAGCAGCTGAAAAACAAATGAGGAATTAGTTTGGTTTACAGATGTACTATTAACCAAAATGAAGGAAAGAATGAGTTAAACTAGAGTCTAGGATTTCCCGGTACAGAAAACAACGCTCTACTTTATATCTTACCTACTAATGCGTCTTTCGTATCTCTGAACTGAACAAAGCGCTCAAGCTGGATTCTTACTGGAGCATGAAGTATTCTCGATATAAATACTTACAGCTGATTCATTGTTGCAGTATCTTCAAATGCTTTAGCCAAATCGTCGATTTCACGAACACCTTTCTCGTCATGGACTTTAAATACAGCATAACCTGCAGCGGTCTCGAAAAGAACTAACATGTTCACGCTTAGTTTCAAATTGACCACTATAGACGGTTGGGTCGATTACCTACTTAAACAATATCTACCGTTTTATGTTGAGATGGATTAAAGGTTAGTTCCAGAGTTTCCAAGTATGTGTATGATGTTTTCGAAATACTCCCATTAGCCTTATTTTTGCGATGTGGAGACAACTCGTTGGGCTGTCGTAATGTTCAGTTTTACTGGTTCAGCTGATGACTCTTATAGTTGAGTGGTTCTCAAGGCTAAGGATAATGCTTCACTCCATTTTGTCACATCAGCTTAAGCAATTAGCGTACTTTGTAAGTAATGGTTCGACCAAGCCATTTACTTCCGGGTGGTAGGAAGTTGCTGTTAAGTGGTCCACTCCCTGGAGTCTGGCGACTTCATAGAAAACAACAGATTGATATCTGTAATGCTATGTAGTTGAACACCATGTTTTGGTAGCCAACGGTCAAGGAATACCGATACCATAGATTCCACAGATGTATTTTTTTATGAGAAATGCGACTGCTCAGTGGGAAAATGTCTGTTTGACTAGGTGGGCTCTGTGCTCCACTTGATATGTGATTAACAGGATTAACAACTAAAGCCTCATGATTGCAATATATAAACAGGAAGTAAATATTTACCGAACAATTGCGAAGGACTAGCTTTCTGATAAATTAGTTTTACGTTCTCTTCGACATAATTATGAAAAGTTTTTACCTCATATCGTTAGTGTTAAATTTATTTCTACCGTGAATATCTGGTCATGATGTTCGGCATATATCATAAAAAACAGATTTGACATAGGATGAAGTTCGATAAAATAGTCATCAGCAGTAGACATCATTGTGACTACGAAATCTAAACTCTCAGGATCTAATTATGGTGACCCTAAGTTATGGTTTATTCAATCCGATCACTTCTTTGCGAGGCACAACAAGAAATATGAGTTCGCGACTTGATTTTGAACTTCTCGACGTCACAACCGTATATAACTACCAAACGTGGGAAAAGGAACCATGGTGCTTGATCAAACAGTTAAAGAACCTAATGACATTTTCAAGGGACATAAGGTAACAGCTCATCATTTCAATTCTTAGATCGCCCTTAAGTTTTGATCGGCCGAAATATCGCAAGCAGGGCAGACCTAAAACAAGGATTTATTAAGTCTCTCTCATAGTGCTTTCCACACTTTTTGAATGCAGAAAACACGGACACCACCTCAACTTAGTATATATTGCAAATAAGATTATGAGAAGTCCCAGACCCAGGTTGCACACGTACATTACACGCTAAGTAGAACCATCAAAAGACCTAGCCATAGCAAGAATCACTACAAGTGTCAAAAGTCTCGTATTTGCTGCTAGACAAATGTAGAGAGATGACAAGGAGCGGGACAGGTCACCTCAGCGACAAAGACCAAGGTTGCAGAGCAGGCCTCAACAGCTCAGAAACCAGGCGGTTATTGCTGGTACCAGAGGAAGCTTTGATGTTGAACCAACTGCTGTATCCTTAATCTCCAGTTAATACTACTAACGGTCAGCTTCAAATAACTACTCAAGCCTTTTAGTCTGGGAGTTCGTAAGCCAACCTGCACGAAATTCGTTATATTTCAAACAGAAATGGTTTATATACCGAACATATCAGACCACATCACACAATAAAAAAGGAATTACGTTTATACATTAGTGAGCTAAAAGTGACTGTGAATAATAAATTAGCAACAGATGAGGAACAGTAAAGCATGTATCATCAGTTAGTGAGTATATTGAGAGCATCTGATCCAGTTAGCTATTAACTATACAATGAGGATATAAACCATAACAATACATCAGTCATAGTAGATATCATTTCCCGAATCTTTCTCCGCATAAAGCACCAACCATACCCTTAACATAAACGGGCTCACAAAGATGTAAGAGAAGAAAAATCAATTCACATGTCCTAACAACTGCACAGAAATATTTGAAGTTACTTGTTTTACATCAGACAGAAGAACTGTCATAAATTCTAAACTGGATACGGTGCTCAGTATCATTCCCAAAAATGCGACGACACAAACAGCGTTAGAGGCAGATGCTACTGAACTGAAGTACTGGAGTGAACTTGAACTCCGAGATGAGCCAAACAAATCAATCAGTCAATCAATCAATAGCAACATAGAACTTAGTACGTATGTACATCAGTTCAGGTTGCCATACCGCATTAACACATAGACCCAACTGTCAGTTCAAACCCAATAGTAATAGGGATAGTAGAAGTATTAGCAATAATGAAGATTAGGGTTCCAAGATATGATTCAAGAAATATAATTCAGTGAGATAACTTTAGAAAGAGAACGATAGAAATGATGAGGAATTCAGGTTAGAATCTGAGAGAACACGAAGAATGAATGCACCTGTGCCATTGCAAACGGTTTTGAGCCATGTCATTCAGGGTCTCGAACCATCGGTTACTAACATCTCGCGGACCCCAACCAGGTAGTCGACACCTACCGACATGACACAATCCACTTGTCAGTGATTTCATGGATTTCTGCCATGTTTTGGTCTGGTCGCTCCTAGCTTCTGTCCAACCTATTCCTACATCACAAAACAGAGCTTGACGAGGCATTCGTAACACATGTCCCAACCACCTCAACTGATGAAGTTTCATTACTTCACCTATTGGTCTGCCATCCTTACATAGTACACGTTTCCTAATAACAGCATTGCATACAAGTATGCTTCGGAGACACCTATGATAGAATACCAGTTTCATAGCGAAAACGTAAGGCGGAGCGAACTACTGCACAGTACACTCGTCCTTTAGTCAGCAAACGGATATCTCGCCTACGCCATAAGTGACGCAGGTTGGCAAAAGCTAATCGAGCCTTCTGTATCCGTTCTGAGACTTCGTCACACACCAGGACATCAGCACTGATGAGACTCCCCATACAAGTGAAGCGGTCAACACGCTCAACTACTTCACTCCCTATCACTAGTTCAGGTACCGATACAACCCAGTCTTGAAGTAACATTTCGCATTTCGACGGGGAGAACCGCATCCCAAACATACTAGCATTGTTGCTTAGGGTGGTCAGAAGACTGCATTTTGTCAGCATCCTCACCGAGTAGGATTATGTTATCGGCATATTCTAAGTCATCAAGCGATTTCCCTGGTAGAAGGTCTACTGAAAATTCAGTGGCGGATAATGTTGCATCTAGCAGCATGTCTACGACTGAATTGAACAAGAATGGAGAGAGTAGACATCCCTGACGGACACCACTTGAAGTAAGGAATTCCGATGATAGTTCACCATAAGCTCTCAGCCGACCAGTGGTGTTTGAGTAGAGAGCTTGTATAAGGTTATTGTACTTCTTCGGTACACCTCTCAATGACAGACACTAACACAGAATCTCACGATCAACAGAGTAAAATGGCGCCTTAAGGTAAAGAAATACTCAATGCGTCATCAAGCGTCTGTCGAAGTGTGGTCTATACAGCCACGCCCAGGTCGGAAACCAGACTGATTTACTCTAGGGAGTGGGCTTGACTTACTACATGGCTGCCTAACTGTTTTTCTAGTTGTTTCTGAAATATATTTTAGCTTTGCCACCATTAAGCAGAGCCCTAACAGGTTTCCTTGCGTCCAGTAAGGCACAAACAAATAATCACTCGCACTGGAGCATGGTCCAGAATGAGCTGCAGCCGTCAATAGTGCCTCTTCACCGACGGCCTATAGCGGTGTGATCTACTTAGGTCCAACGTTCGCATCGTTTGCACTAGCAGCGCAGGTAGATGAAAAATGTTAGGTCACGCCGTTTTTGAGCATTACGGGTTAGTTGTTACTTTGACTGAGATCTCAAGTAGAATCTGGGAACAGGGTGTAATCCCATCTGATTGGTCTCAATTACTCATTGTTCCGGTCCACTAAGAGGGACAGAAGTCCTCTTGTGGCAATCACAGATGAATCAGTTTGACTAATATAGTGTCTAAAACGTCAGCTCTGATGTCGCATTGAGTATTTCTTTACCTTAAGGCGCCATTTAACTCTATTGATCGTGAGGTTCTAGTGCAGTGTCTGTCATTGAAACGTGTACCAAAGAAGTACATTAACCTTATACAATCTCTCTCTTTAACCGAACGCCACTGGTCGAGTTAGAGCCTATGGTGAACTGTCATCGGAATTCTTTACTTCAAGTAGTGTTCGTCAGGGCTGTCCACTCTCTCCATTCTTGTTTACTTTTTTCGAAAATATGCTTCTAGACATTGTCTTCGTCTGACTTTTCAGGGGTGAACCTTCTACCAGGAGACACGCATGCTGATATGGAGTAGGATGATGTCATAGTTCTACTTTGGTGAAGACGCCGACGAAATGCAGTTTTCTAACTAGCCTACGCAACAATGCAAACGTGTTTGGGGTGCTGTCATTCAGAAACGCAATCCCCTACTTCTTGAAGACTCGACCTGAAGGGACGATCGACTGGTGAATCACACACTTTTATCCGTACCAGGTTGCCAATCAACGAAGCTGGTATCTAGATTAGTTTAGCAGGGATGAAGAATTTTGTTTCGCAGTCTTCTACATGCATCGAGCCCATCTCTCAAGAAATTATCCCAAACAGAAGTTAATTTAGGAAAAGAGATCAAAATTTAAGAAACAACTTTATTGTCACAACATGTACAAATCTCTGACACAGAGTCGTGGTGAGTTCGATTTTCACTATATACCGTGGGAGTATGAATACAATGCGAAACTGCCAGCTGGTAACGTTTGGGCAGTGCGGACCATCAACCGTCAGTGTACACCTCCGCTAGGCGTCACTGTGAGAACTGGCCGAAACTTTGAACGACGCCATCCGTTTGTGTGCGAATGTAAGCATGAATCAGCCTACGAGTGACGCCGGATCTACAAACTAAAAATTATATCACATGACACTTAAATCTGCAGAAGCATATTAAAGGCAATCAGCTGGGATTTTGACAGTCACACTGATATATGAGACTCTAGTCCACAGTATCATCAGTAAGTAAAAACAAGCTGGGAGACTCACCATGTTAGCGTACGTCAACAACAACTCAGCCTGCATGTACTTGTGAACTACAGCGTATCATCCGCGGATAAACGTGCTTACATAGAGAAACAGCCGGACGTTAAAGGAATGGTTAGCATCTGAAGGAGGAGATTGGGAGAAAGAGTTACCATTGATTTTGCTGATCCCAAAGTGTGAAGGACCGTACGTTATCACGGAGAGACGCGGCACGGTTTACACGATCCGGAGAGGAGACAAGCAGAAGCGCGTAAATGCTAGTTAACTGCAGAGATGGTTTCAAGATTATCAAGTGTATGAGTCACGAATAGCACCAAAGATGACAACGGTACGGCAATCAGTAGGACTATGACGTCAGCTTATTAAAAGGGGGGACGAGTGTAGTGCGCGCTACTTATAAGTAGTATATGACGCAAGTGTAAACGTCAGATCAAGAAAGGAAGAGTGGGAACACAATGGAATTTGTATGAAACGCATGATTAGTGAAATGTCAGACAATGGATTGAAGATTTGCAAACTAACGGTTACGATATGGTTTTCCTATTTTACTGATTAACTCTGCAAATTTCGTTAAATACAATTCGGATGCCCTCACCTGTGTTCTCCTTCACTACACCAGGGGTCTTGCTGGCGTAGGCATAGCAATGAGTCGTACAGCTGAACAATCTCTCCTTGACTGGGTCCCAGTAGATAGTCGATTGTGCGCTGTCCGACTAAACGGGACAGTAAGGACTCGGAAAGATAGGGACAATCGCCGTTGCCTCTTCGTCGTATCTGCCTATGCCCCCACTGACTGTAGTTCAGACTAGGTTAAAGATGAGTTTTACAGAAAGCTTTCGGACCTCCTCCAAAAAGCTAGGCGCTCTGATATAGTAATAATGGCTGGTGACTTTAATGCTCAAGTAGGTAGACTAAGTGAGCAGGAAAGACACCTAGGTGGATGTTATGGTCTCGCGGCTCAGAGGACAGACAATGGTGACCGTCTGTTGCAAGTATGCTCAGACAACCGCCTATTCTTAGCAAACACTAACTTTAGGCATAAGGAAAAACATCTGTTGATCTGGCGACCCCCGAAGTCGTCTCAACGTTGGACGCAACTAGATCAGATCGCCATCAGCCACCGATGGAGGGGTTCGATAGAGGACTGCCACTCGTTCTGGTGCACATATTTAGATTCAGATCATGCACTAGTGCGAGCGCGTATTTGTCTGCGCCTTACTGGACGCCTGAAAAATATCGCTTTACTTAATGATAATTTAGCTAAGAAAATATTTCAGGAGAAACTAGAAAAACAGTTAGGCGACCATGCAAGTGATTCCCATCCGGAGGCAGGTTGGAATGATATCAAAAAGGCTGTGGAAACAGCAGTGATATCTGCTAGCAAGGTAAACCATAAGGCTAGGATGAAGCCGTGGATCTCAGTAGCATCCACCGAATTGATGGATACTCAAAAACGCATTCCACCAAGCTCTGAACATGATAAAGAGCGAAGTCAGCTTAGGCGCAGACTGATAAAAAGCCTGCGTAACGACCGCGAACAGTGCTGCATGGCGAAAGCAAAAGCGATGAAAAAGGCAGCGGCGATAGGCGACACTAGACAACTTTTCCGCCTGTATAAGGAACCCGAATGTGGGTGAGACTGTCTCAGAAAAGGATGACTGTGTCATTTATTCTCAATCCAGGAGATTGGACCGATGGTCAGGACAGTTTAGGGATCAGTTCAACTGGTCTTCATTCACACTTCGGTTGCCCACGATCCCCAGTCATCCTGAATGGCCAATCGATTTAAGTCCTCTCAGTCTACACGAAGTTGAGAAAGCTATAGGAAATATAAAGGGAGGTAGAGCAGCAAGTCCTAATATGCTTACCCCTGAGATGTTTAGGGATGGTGGTCCAGTTTTAACAGTTAGACTGACCGAGATCTTAGGTAGAATCTGGGAACTGGAAGTAATTCCATCTGACTGGTCTCAGTTGCTAATTGTCCCAATCTACAAGAAAGGACAAAAGTCTTCTTGTGACAATCACAAGGGAATCAGTCTAACTAATATAGTATCTAAAATATTGGCCTCAATAATACTTCGACGCTAAACAAAAGCTCGTGAAGAGCAGACTAGAGAAAACCAGGCTGGTTTTCGACCTGGACGTAGCTGTATAGACCACATCTTCACACTACGACAAGTCCTGGAACACAGACACACATTTAGGCATCCTACAATAGTTGTCTTCCTGGAACTTAAGGCGGCATTCGACTCGGTGGATCGTGAGATTCTGTGGCAGTGTCTGTCATTAAAAGGTGTACCAAAGAAGTACATTAACTTCATACAAGCTCTCCACTCGAGTGAGAGCCGATTGCGAACTGTCATCTGGATTCTCTACATCAAGTGGTGTCCGTCAGGGCTGTCCACTCTCTCCATTCTTGTTTACCTTTGTTGTAGACATCCTCTTAGAGTTGACATCAAGCTTGTCAGATTTTTCAGTAGACCTTCTATCAGAAAAATCGCTTACTGACTTAGAATATGCCGATGACATAGTTCTATTCGGTGAAGACGCTGACGAAATGCAGTCTTCTGACCACTCTAAGGAACAATGCAAGCATATTCGGGATGCGGTTCTCACTCTCGAGATGCGAAATGTTGATTCAAGATTGGGTTGCATCGGAACCTGAACTAGTGATAGGGAGTAAAGCATTTGAGCGTGTTGATCACTTCACTTATCTTGGGAGTCTCATCAGCGCTGATAGCCTGGCGACTGACAAAATCTCAGAACGGATACAGAAAGCTCGATTTGCTTTTGCCAATTTACGCTGTTTACGGCGTAGGCGAGATATCCGTTCGCTATCTAAAGGACGGGTGTACCGTTCAGCAGTTCGATCCGTTCTCCTATATGGATGCGAAACATGGCCGTTAACAGTAGATGTTCGTAGGTTACTAGTATTCGATCATAGATGTCCTAGAATTATTGCTCGTATATCGTGGGACAACAGATTAAGCAATGCTGTTGTTAGGAAACGAGTGAGGTAAGGTGTGACATTTTTAGGGTCGACCTTTCCTAACCCTTCCTTCCTTGTGAGAAGGTAGCATCGCTGCAGATGCTGGTTGTCCGAGGGGAACGCCTTACTGCTGTCATAACCCTCTGCAGTCAGCAGTACGACTTCGCCCTCAGATCTTGAGTAGTTGCTTTTAATCTCATCGTTCTCCAATCGACCTGCCTGGCACGGTAGAACTTTCGGGAACATATGTTCCAGCCAATATAGCTCGGTTGGGTCATCACGACAGGCAAGCGCGACCACCATGTCAAGGTTGCAGCTCCGGTTGGGTTAACCAAATAGGACGAAAAACGCGTACTAGATTCCGATGTTATCCATCATCTATCTCTGCTTATTAAGTGAGAAATAGCCGTATATATGCACGTTTAGCACTTATTATCAAAGTGTTTCTATAAAAAACTAATGTTTACTGCACATATTTGAACATGGATATTCAAGTGTTGTCGTTAAAAATACTAAAACTGCACTAATGCGTATAACGATATAAATCCAATAACAGTACGTAAATTGTACACTAATTAAAACTGTGCTCTTCAATTCTGATTTCAAACAGAATTTAAATTTATTTCACAAATTACCAGTCCTAAGTCTATAACTTCACTATATATGGGCTTCAAGCCAATCAATTTACGGTTCGGTTGAGAAAAAAAGCGTTATGACTAGAGTCTAGATAAGTTTGCTTATTATTCCATCCAATTTTGTCGGTAGGTGTCGCCATTTTCCCTCATTATTTGATTGATAATTCAGGAAAGAGATTATATATGTGTCATGAAGATCAGCGACATCTGTTGAATTCGATAACTGGATACGTATAAGTACGAAAGCCAGTCGGGAAGCGGTTACACCAGAGTAAAATGTCTTTAAACTGCCTAAAATCGAATGCAACATTGTGTACAGAAGTCTTTAAGCACAACCACTGGTACTTAAGGAATGTAATAAAAAGAACCACTCATCCACACTAACCATTTATTTCAAATAAATACCAAACACATCGGCAATAGAAAGTCTAAGCCAATCACAATGAGCACCGATTAGAACAACAATAACTGATAAACTGGAGTAAGTTAAGAGTATTAAAAATTGTATTAAAGATGAAGACCAGCTCAAATCAACATACGTACCCGTGATAACATCTAAATATGTCTTTTCAGGCAAAAACTGCAGTGTATTCAAACAAAATACATTGAGGAAACCAGTTAGTAGATTCGAAATAATAAAATATAACAAACCATTATGATCAATTGTCAAAGATAATGGGGAATAGCTTAAATTCAGGCTGAAAAGTGATTTAAAGTGTATTAATAACGAAATTATTGAAGTGATAAAAACAAAGCCGACAGTTGAGATAAATAGGATTAATAATACATAGTTAGAGTTTCCAAAACGTCTGGATATCATCTCACTGCCACTCAGTGAGTAGAAACAACCTGATGAGCATAGGATTATGATACCACTGAATAAATGTATTTTGAATAACGAAATATTAGGCGGAGATTTCGTTTTCAATGAAATTTTCTCATTTTTATGATCATTATTGGTATCTGTTGACAGGTAGGATAGGGCTAGAAGTGATGAACTTAACTTGAAAAAGTAAATTGATGCATAACCAAATATAGAGATAACACCTTCAAAATTAGCAAACCATAAAGATTTCGAACGATTATCATTTATATAACGTAGTGTTTTTGGATTAAATTGCCATCTTTTTTGAAAATATTCTGGACAAATTATTATTGGGAAAAATTCAGATAGTATTAAACATATACCGGATACAATGTAATAGAATAAAATTTGTCTTTTTAGTGAACATTTTATTAAATAACTACTGATAGGATTTTTAGTGGTCACTATGAATGACATAGCACGTATCAAAGCTACTGTATAAAAGAAATTCCAATGTATACCATATTCTTCAATACTTTGATGATAATTTGACAGTTGAATGAAAAATGTTCTTAACAGTCCCAAAATTAAACATGGAACTACAGAATTCAATATACAATTGAAAAATCGTTTACTACTATTTCGATAAACATTCATATACCAAACTATTTTCGAACCAGATATACCGGATGCAACTATAAATAAACCTGTACCAACATCCATTAAACCAAGACCATTTAATTCAGATTTAGCAAAACGTCTTGGACAAATCGGTAAATCAATTGCATAAATCATAATACACGAAAGCATATATATAGTTGTTCGAAAATAAGCAATTAAAATATTAATTGGTAAAGAATGAAAATTTCCAAAATAATTTAATTGATTACAATTATTTGATTTGAATAACCATAGAAGATAAATTATAAAACTACTGATTACAATAAAAATAATATAAGAAGACAAAATAGTTAATGATAAAAGTAACGGTAGTAAAATCATGAAATAATCAATAATTAAAGCTAAACCTAATCGATTTTTTGATGATACATTAAAATGTATACACACAAGTGATCGTAAACACTGTAACGTTAATGGAAATAAACAAATACAAATAAGTTCTGTTACTGATGTAAAACCTACACGTTTTATAAACTCTGAATGTTCAATTTTATTTACATTAGGCATTCTGTTTATGCGCGTCTGTATGTTTGTGTAGATATTGTAAAGATGAAGTTAATGAAACCTATAGAAAAAGTAGACAAGAATAAAAGAATTTAAAAGTATGATTATAAGAAATAAATACCTACTTACTCTCAAACACATATACACCTGAGTATTGAATAATTTATTCATTGCAAATAGTTTTGTAAAGATCTAATGTCAAGATATCAGTATCACAAAGTTTGATTCATAAACAAATTCACCAATGATAGTGTTCAACTCTCATTCTAATATTAACATTCTTTAACCATATACGACGACTATGCTTTGCTTATTTGCCAATTATAATCTATCATGCATTTTATAAACGATATTGAATTGGTTGACTTATTTTCACCTGTCCTTCAGTTACTTTTCGAAACTCATTAGAGGAAGTAATTCTTACAGATAAAGTTCATCAAACCAAATAGATTGTTTGTTCTAACTTCGGCTAAACTAATACTCTGTATTCAACAAATAAGCAGTAGGCTTAAAATTTCATCTGCATAAATTACTTCTTACAGCATTTTATAAAGACGCTGATAATCGAAAATTTTTCAACAAAATAGTTCAAAATTGATATATACAATATGTACAGAATATTTATCACTATTTGAACGAATCAACTGACAAAGCTTTAGTTGCATTCTTTGTAGAATCATGTTCTCATATAGATAGAAAAAACTCCGCCAGGAACCCCAATGTGGTTACTGCCAGGCCCGAGCCTGAGGTTAGCGATTCCGTCCCGTAGAAGTTCAACTTGCCAGAAAACACTAAGCAGAAAAAAATAATCCAAACCATCTAAACTCTGTCCTGGTAAATTTAAGGTCTTCATTTAAGAGTTATGATGTCTCATAATGAAAGCCGAATTCCTTTCAAAGTTAAGAGGCCGATGCCCCTACTGACAACCAGAGCAACCATTAATTTAGGTACTTTAAATGTCCGTACATTCCGGGAGACTGGAGAAACCATTTTAGTTACTTCGGAAATGAAAAGATATATTCTGGTGAAACTCATTGGACGCAAGCTGGACAAAAAGACTAGCTTCAGGAGAGATGTTTCCCGGTCATGAGGAAGAAAATACTTTCCATACATTAGGGGTTTTACTAATGCTATCCAAAGAAGCCTAAAAAGTACTTGGAGGATGGAAATTTCGTGGACATAGACTCATAAAAGCATCCTTCACAACATAGAAGTGGAGTGTTGCAATGAATATCATTCAGAGCTATGCGCCCACCAACGATAACAAATTAAGGACGATAAAGACCAATTGTATGAGAAGCTGCAGTCAATCGTCAAGAAATATCCTGAAAAAGCTTTGAACATTCTGATGGAAGACCTAAACGACAGGGTTGAAATGAACAACATCGGCAACTCAAAGGAACTGTCAACCAACACCAAAGTCGAAATTTTCAGTACAAACGATAGGACGTTTCTGTCGAATAGGGCCGAAACTTGGAGAACAACAAAGGCTATCATTTAAAAGATGCATGTGTTTGTTAACAGGTGTCTATGCAATATAATTTAAATCCATTGAATCAGAGGTCATAATCAATAACCCACGCTGTCAGAGGAAAAACCAGACTCCCGCTGGGGACGAAATTAGGAAAAGGTGTGTCAAGAGACAAACCCTAACTTGAAATCCTCAAGATCAAACGATAAATTGAGCTGGGAACTGCATAGAAATGAAAAAAATGAATAGTAATTGGGAAAAACTGTAAAGGAGAGTCCAGGACAGAGTTGGTCGGCTGCGCATGCTCCATGAGGGGTGACAGGTGTAAGTAAGCAATTATGGACATGCTGACAATTTTGAAACGTAACAATATGATATTTTAGAGTATGATAGCTCATAGGTTGAATATCTGAGAATAAAAACACTAATTAACAAACCTTTTTATTCTTAGGAAATTTTATCATACTAACAGATCAAACATTCCTTAAAACATATTTAATTACACTGTTATCAATAATTTAAATAAATATAGCTAATATATAAAATAAAAATAGCTGGTAAGTTAAAATGAAATAGTAATGACTGTTCGTTTGTTTGTTTGTCACTTCTTTAAAGAATAATGCGAGATGTCAAGTAAACTAAAAGAAATGCAGTAACTTTGTTGATGGACATGCAACAGGCTCTTCTGAATAGGTTAAACGAAACTTCAATCTTAACAAATAAACTAAAAACACAAAGTATCCAATTAGACATAGTTTAAACATATTGTGTTCATAAAAAATCCATCCACATGAATAATTCCGGGATAAATAACAGGATGATAAGTGTTTATCGTTAACGCTACATAAAATTATGTAAGTTGTTCTATTGACAGTACTGACATTTAGCGTTTGATCCAATATCAGGATGTGTTGTAAGGATTTTAAGCCCAAAAACCAAATAGTCTAGCAGCTCCAAAAATCTGTTTCAGACAGGTATCAAAGAAAGAGTATTAACTCAAGAGTATAGCTGTTTAAGGTGTGATACATATCTTTCGAAATAAGCTATGTCATGTGGAATGCTTGAGATATTTTGTACATAAATTGTTTCCTATCATAAAAGGCCGGAAAAATAATGGCATCAAGCAATCAATAATGATTTAAAAATTGAGGAAAAATGTAGTAAACATAAAAAAACATAATCTGACATTGACACATAATCGTTCATGGTACACTGAAATATTTCAAAGGGAAAAGCGGTAAGAATCAAGGTAATTAAGATGGTGATAGTGAGAAAAACATTAGTGAATAAAATCAGAAGGAGCAAACAAATGACGATAGTATGATATAAGCAATTTTAAACATGCTAAAGAATACACAGGCGCACGGAACAAATATTTAACAGAAAGTACCAAATCAATGATTTCTATTATTTGGTTCATTCAAATCATCAATCTTGAAGTGTCTCGTATAATTTAGGACAATAGATAAGCATTCCAAGAATTGGTACAGTAATTTGGCTCGTAAAAATCGATTCAAGGAAAATGATTAACTAGGATAGTTATATAATTTTATCTCAACTATCGAAACGTTACTAACATTGAAACTACGCCTACAAACGAGACTAAAAACAAAATACATACGAGACAACTAATTGAAAGTTCACTTGAAATCATTCTTCTATTATTTTTTGTTTTATTGTCAACATATAATAATCAGCATGATACAACACAGTAAACAAACTTAGTTTATGTACTCACTCGGGTTTCAGTCAAAGTATGTCTTGAGTAAGAGCTAATCACGCCAACCAACTGCCAGATGGTTGAGGATCGAAAATTATGACTGAACATGTTCTGTCTATTTTCGCTGTTGACAATTAACAAAAAACACAGTGAGTTTTAAAACACGTCTTGTCTATCCTTTAAACTAATACTTTTTTTTTACCGAACAGCTAATTAGAAAAACGTAAGTTTGAGTCTATGATTATGTTACATGACGTCACAGATATTTATGATTTCAAACTAAACTATTTGTAATTAAGGCCATAATCATTAATTTGTGTGATATTACTAGTCAAACAAATAAACCAAAATAATCATTACATAGACTTCTTTTGCTAAACAGAATTCATGAAATTTTTATTATCTTAGATATACTGTGCACCATAGACACAAAGAAGCAGATAAGTGTTGTAAACGCTCGCTTAAATAATTCCCAGCTAATTCCTATTGCCTAGGATTCTCTGACCACAATACACTGGACAAGTTCCAAAGAATCAAAACACGGTGCAACAGGTAAAGATTATATTCCAAATAGCAAGGTTAAATGGAAATAAGAAGCCAAAGGTGATGGCGAAGGCGGAGGCAAAAAAAGATACGTTAGTGTCCTTATAGTTTTTCACATGAGAAGCATCTGGAATGTAATTCACGTGGTTGACTACCACTGACCGAATTGGATTTAGCCAATCAGCATGCAGATAACAACACGAGAATTTTCTAGCCTGTTCTCCAAGTATAGGCCAGGCGCTGATTGGACAGGAAAAATTAGCCAACCAGGGCGCATCTAGTGCAATCATACTTTAATCCATCTATGTCCCACTAACAATAAGTAACACAAAATCCAATGAGATGATGATAAAGGAAATTCGAGTATACGTTTCAATGTGCGTCTACCTCAACGCCTTTCGCTGGGTCCGAGAAATAAGATCTATTTCCACAAGGAAAGAGTGGTTGTTGTGGCTTTATGCACTACCCAATATGGAGACAACCAATGACAGACAGACAAAAAGACACAACACAGGACTTCATACGTATATACATCAGTTCAGGTTGCCATACCACATTAGCGCATAGACCCAACTGTCAGTTCAAATCCAACAGTAATAGAGATAGAAGAAGTATTAGCAAAAATGAAGATTAGGGTTCCAAGATATGATTCAAAAAGTATAATTCAGTGAGATAACTTTAGAAAGAGAACGATAGAAACGATGAAGAATTCAGAAGGTTAGAATCTGAGAGAACACGAAGAGTGGATGCACCTGTGCCACTATAAGAAAGGACACAAGTCTTATTGTGACAATCACAGAGGAGTAAGTCTAACTAATATAGTATCTAAAATATTGGCCTCAATAATACTTCGACGCTTAACGAAAGCTCGTGAAGAGCAGACTAGAGAAAACCAGGCTGGTTTTCGACCTGGACGTGGTTGTATAGACCACATCTTCACACTACGACAGGTCCTGGAACACAGACACACATTTAGACGTCCGACAATAGTCGTGTTCTTGGACCTTAAGGCGGCATTTGACTCAGTGGATCGTGAGGTTCTGTGGCAGTGTCTGTCATTGAAAGGTGTACCAAATAAGTACATTAACCTTATACAAGCACTCTACTCGAACACCACTGGTCGGGTGAGAGCATATGGCGAACTGTCATCTGAATTCTCTACATCAAGTGGTGTCCGTCAGGGATGTCCACTCTCTCCATTCTTGTTTAATTTTATCATAGACATGCTCCTAGAAATAACCTTATCCTCATCTGAATTTTCTGGAGTAGACCTTTTACCAGGTGGCTCGCTTATTGACTTAGAATATGCCGATGACATTGTCCTACTTGGTGAAGACACCGACGAAATGCAGAGTCTTCTGACTACCCTAAGCAACAATGCAAGCATGTTCGGGATGCGGTTTTCCCCCTCGAAATGCAAAATGTTGCTTCAAGATTGGGTTTCATCGGCACCTGAACTAGTGATGGGGAGTGAAGTGGTCGAACGTGTAGACTGCTTCACTTATCTGGGGAGTCTCATCAGTGCTGATGGCCTGATGACTGACGAAATCTCGGCACGGATACAGAAGGCTCGATTGGCTTTTGCCAACCTGCGTCACTTATGGCGTAGGCGAGATATCCGTTTGCTGACTAAAGGACGAGTGTACTGCGCAGTGGTTCGCTCTGTCTTACTTTATGGCTGTGAAACATGGCCAATGAGAGTAGAAGATACTCGACGGTTATTGGTTTTCGATCATAGGTGTCTTCGAAGCATTGCTCGTATATCGTGGGACACCCGAGTGAGCAACGCTGTTATTAGGAAACGGGTACTAGGTAAGAATGGCAGATCAATAGATGAAGTGGTGAAACTTCATCAGTTGACGTGTTTGGGACACATGTTGCGTATGCCTAACCACCGACTGCCTCGTCGAGCTTTGTTTTGTGGTGTAGGAATAGGTTGGAAGAAAGTTAGGGGCGGTCAAACCAAAACATGGCATAAATCCATGAAGTCATTGACGAGTGGACTTAGCCATGTCGGTAATTGTCGACTACCTGGTTGGGGTCCGCGAGATGATAATAATCGATGGTTAGAGACCTTGAACGACATGGCTCAAAATCGTTCGCAATGGCGACAGCGCATTTATTCTTTGTGTTCTCTCAAATCCTAATCTTCTGGATTCTTCAACACCTCTAGTTTTTACTTTCTAAACTTATCTCATTGAATCATACTTCGTGAATAATATCTTCTAATTCTAACGTCTACGATTACTTCTAATACCTTTACTACCTCTTCTACTATTGGATTTGAATTGAAAATTATATCTCTGTGCTGATGTGGTATGGCGACATGAACTGATGTACTTACGTACGAAGTTCTACGTTGCAACTGACTGACTGACTGACTGCAAACGATTTTGAGCCATCTAGTTCAAGGTCTCTAACCATTGGTGACTTTCGTCTCGCGGACCCCAATCAGATAGCCTACATCTACCAACATGACTCAGTTCACTTGTCAGTGATTTCATGGATTTCTGCCATGTTTTGGTCTGGCCGCCCCTAGCTTTTGTCCAAACTATTCCTACACCGCAAAATATAGCTCGACGAGGCAGTCGGTGGTTAGGCATTCGTAACACATGTCCCAACCACTTCAACTGAAGTTTCATTACTTCATCTATTGGTCTGCCATCCTTACATAGTACTCGTTTCCTAACAACAGCATTGCATATTCGATAGTACAAAGATATACAAGTATGCTTCGGAGACACCTATGATCGAATACCAGTAACCTACGCTTAACTTCTACTCTCACTGGCCATGTTTCACAGCGAAAACGTAAGATGGAGAGAACTACTGCAAAGTACACTCGTCCTTTAGTCAGCAAACGGATATCTCGCCTACGCCATAGTCAGTCAGTCAGTTCCTAGGCATAAGCTAATCGAGCCTTCTGTATCCGAGCTGAGATTTCTTCAGTCACTAGGACCATCAGCACTGATGAGACCTCTCCAGATAAGTGAAGCAGTCTACACGGTCAACCACTTCACTCCCTATCACTAGTTTACGTGTTGACGCAAGCCAATCTTGAAACAACATTTTGAATTTCGAGGATCAACAGCGCATCACGAACATACTTGCATAGTTGCTCAAAGTAGTTAAGATTACATTTCGTCGGCGTCTTCACCAAATAGAACTATGACATCATACTCTATGTTAGCATGCGTGTCTCCTGGTAGAAGGTTCACCCCTGAAAAGTCAGACGAAGACAATGTTATAACTAGAAGCATGTCTATGAAAAAAGTAAACAAGAATGGAGAGAGTGGACAGCCCTGACGAGCATTACTTGAAGTAAAGAATTCCGATGACAGTTAGCCATAGGCTCTAACTCGACCAGTGGTGTTCGAGTAGAGAGAGAGCTTGTACTTCTCTGGTACACCTTTCAGTCACAGATACTGCAACGGAAACCTCACGATCGACAGAGTAAATAGCCGCCTTAAGGTCGAGAAATACTTCAGTGTGGGACGTCTGACCTGACAGTATTGTGGATATATATGGTCTATACAGCCACGTCGAGGTCTGAAACCAGCCTGGTTTTCTCGAGTCTAGGATCTTCACGAGCTCTATGTAAACATCGAAGTATCATCGAAACTGACGTTTTAGACCAACTATATTAGTTAAACTGATTCATCTGTGGACTGCCATACGAGTACTTCTGTCCCTCTTTGTGGACTGTAACTAATCAGTGATTGAGACCAATCAGATGGGATTACACCCTGTTCCCAAATTCTACTTAAGATCTTCCGTCAACCTAACTGCTAAAACTGGACCACCATCCTTGAAAATATCAGTGGTAAGCCTGTCAGAGCCTGCTGCTCTCCCTCCCTGTACATTTCCTGTAGCCTTTTCAGCTTCATTATAGTCAGAGGACTGACATCGATTTGCCATTTAGGATGATGGAGATCGTGGCAAACCAAAGTGTGAATGAAGGCCAGTTTGAGCTGATCCCTGAAGTGCTCTCCCCAGCGACTCCAATCTCGTGGATTGACAGTCAATAATAGACCCATTCTTTCCCAATATAGTTCCGCTAACAGATGTTTTTAATACAGGTTTATTTGATAAGTAGGAAAACTGTCCTGCTGTTGCCTAGCATTCGCGATGCTTTGTCTACCCACTACCGTTCGCGATATCACTGAATATGGGTTTTTATCAGCCTGCGCTAAGCTGAATGTCGCTCTTCACCTTCAGAGCCAGGTGGGAATAGAGTTTACGAGCGTCTATCAATTCGGGTGGATGCATACTCAGATTCACAGCTTCCTAGCCCTATGGTCCTACCTTACTAGCAGATATCACTGCTGATTCCATAGCCTTTTTTGATATCATTCCAACCTGCCTCCGAATGGGAATCACTTACATGGCCGCCTAACTGTTTTTGATTTGTTCCTGAAATATATTCTAAGTTTTGTTATCATTAGGTAGAACCCTAACAGGTTTCATCGCAGTGTTTTACCTACGTCCGGTAAGACATCAAACAAAATATGCGCTCGCCATTAGGACATGATCTGAATCTGAATAAGCGACAGTCCTCTATCGAATCCCCTCAATAGTTGGCTGACGGCGAAATTTGATCTACTTGGGTCCAACGTTGAGCCTGCATTATAGGGGGTCGCCGCCAGGTCAATGAAAATGCTTTCTTTATGCTTAAGGTTTAGTCTTTGCCGGAAATAGTAGGCGGTCATCTGGAGCATAGTTGCAACCATTATCTGTACTATTGGCCCGCGACACTACACAGATGTCTTTCATTTTCACCTACCTACTTGAGCATTCAAGTCACCAACCACTACTACTATATCAGAGCGCCCAAAATTTTGGAGTTCTAAAAGCCTTCTGTAACACTTGTATTTTACCTCTTCCGAACTGCAGTCAGTGGGAGCGTAGGCAGAGACGACATAGAGAAAACAGCGAGTGTCCCTATCTTCCCGAATCTCACTGTCCCGTTCAGTCGAACAGCAAACAAGCAACTACCTACTGGGATCCATTCTAGGAGAGCTAGTTCTGCCATACAATTCAATGCTACACCTACACTAGAAAAACCCGGGGGAGCAGCATCAGGGCTTCCAGAAACACGAAGGTTTTTGGCTAGGTAGGTTGCAATGATCGAGAGAACATTACCAAACCGACGACGTCGGGTAGCTCTAAAAACAAATTTGTCGAACTTGAAAAGATAGACAACATATGAATTACTTATTATAGGGAACTAAAATAGGCAGTGTGAGAGTGAATATGTCAGTATCCATTATCTAATTCACGAACTTGTATTAACCTATTTATTTATTTGAGCTCACTTCTTGTTCTGGTAACTGGATAAAAAACACTGAAATTAAGTGTATACCTAGTGCTTTCTTACTGCATAACTTGAAGAGTTATCAAATCATTCTGAAGTTTCATGAATCATGATTGGATCTCAAACAATCCTTTTATTTTGGTTTCATTTCACCTCCCCTAGGAAAATCTAATAATTTTGCTAAGGTCACTTTAAGGATGGCGAAATTCGGACCATATAATCTAATTTTAATTTTCGCCAAGTATATATGTGGAAATAATTCAGATTACAACAAAGTAAAAGCTATTCATCATCATTAGTTACAGTATGTGATGTTTTGAATTTGCCCACAATCCTGAATGTGAAGAAATGGTGGGATTTTCACCAGAGCCATTTGCAAGTCTCCAGTTCTCTTCAGAGATTAGAGAAGTTTTAGGAAAAAACCGAAAAAGCAGTGTAACGCGACTGCGAGAACATAAATTTAAGCCTTTTAGGACATAAGTGGACTAATCGTGATGTCTGTCGACATAAATGTCATGCCTTGAATGGGTGACAAAACAGTTTAGAAAAAACGTTGGAGAAAATTCACCCACTAACCTGAACCAGCAGAGTGCAATCAACTGCCAGAAAAAGCTATAGTTAGGTCAAGAATTATAGTTTGGTTTATCATAACAAACCAAAGAGAATTAGTAGCACACACATTTAAAAATTTACACGCTGACAATATCCAACATGCCATGTATGATATTTTCCCGAGCTGGTAAAAAAGAGGTTGAAGGAGTTACTGCACGGATATTCTCCTTTCAGAACTAATCCACGTGTTTGGTAGTTTCCAATGGATGGTAGTCGCGCCACTCGACTGCATTAGTTCTAGTCAGCTGGCAATCGTTTGTGAGTTTGTATGTCCGTGATTTTCACAGAAGTTTAATACAGCCTTTCTTCGGGATACCATAAAACTCAAGGAATTCAAGATAGCCCTCACCAATAGGTTCCAGGCCTTTCAGGATCTACTCAATGGAGAGGACGCAACATTGGAGAACAATTGGGAAGGGATTAAGGAAGCAATCATTTCAACATGTCACGAAGTTCTGGGTCACAAGAAGTACCATCACAAGGAATGGATCTCTGTTGGTACTCTTGCAAAAATTGAAGGAAGGAGGAACAAGATAGCAGAAAACAATGTCAGCCGAACAAGAGCAGAGAAAGTTACCGCACAAGCTGCATACACAGAAGCAAACAGGGAAGTGATGAAGAGCATCAGAGTTGACAAACGAAAATATGTAGAAGATCTAGCAATGACGGCGGAAAAGGCTGCAAGAGACGGAAACTTGAGACAATTGTACGAAACAACAAAGAAACTGGCCGGAAACTATCGTAAACCAGAACGACCAGTGAAAAGCAAGGAAGGGAAAATAATCAGCAACACTGACGAACAGCGAAATAGGTGGGTAGAGCACTTTAAGGAACTATTGAATCTACCAACTCCACTGAACCCACCCAACATCGAAGCAGCATCCATGAACCTCCCAATTAATATTGGCGCACCTACAATTGAGGAGATCAGTATGGCCATCAGACAAATCAAGAGTGGCAAAGCAGCAGGACCAGACAACATTCCAGTAGAGGCAATGAAGGCAGATGTAGAAGCAACTGCGAAAATATTTCACAACCTCTTCAAGAAGATTTGGGATGAGGAACAAGTACCATCAGATTGGAAAAAAGGATACCTGATGAAAATACCAAAGAAAGGCGATCTCAGCAAGTGTGAGAACTACACAGGCATCACTCTTCTTCCAATACCAAGCAAATTCTTCAACAGGGCATTGTTAAACAGAATGAAGGACTTCGTAGACATCGGTGCAACTTCGAGATCAACAGGCCGGATTTCGTAAGGATCGATCGTGTACTGACCAAATCGCTACATTACGGATCATTGTGAAACAATCAATTGAATGGAACTCACCACTCTACATCAACTTCAACGACTACGAGAAAGCAATCGATAGCGTGGATAGGAAAACACTGTGGAGGCTTCTTCGACACTACGGTGTGCCTGAGAAGAGAGTTAACATCATACGGAACTCTTATGATGGATTCAACTGCAAAATCGTGCACGGAGGTCAGCTGACAGACTCTTTCGAGGTGAAGACCCGTGTCAGGCAAGGTTGCTTACTCTCACTCTTTCTCTTTCTCGTGGTCATCGACTGGATTATGAAGACGTCGACGTCTGGAGGGAAGCACGGTGTCAACTGGACAGTTAGGACGCAGCTGGACGATCTGGACTTCGCAAATGACCTGACTCTTCTATCGCACACGCAACAACAAATGCAAGAGAAGACGACCAGTGTAGCAGCAGCCTCTACAGCAGTAGGTCTCAACATACATAAAGGAAAAAGCGAAATTCTCCGATGCAACACAACATGCACCAACCAAATCACTCTTGATGGAGATGCCTTGGAGGACGTTAACACCTTTACACATCTGGGTAGCATCATCGACGAGAAAGGTGGATCGGATGCAGATGTGAGGGCGCGGATTGGCAAAGCGAGGGCTGCATTTCTACAGTTGAAAAATATCTGGAACTCCAAACAAATATCAACCAAAACCAAAATCAGGATTTTCAATACAAATGTCAAGACAGTTCTACTGTATGGAGCGGAAACTTGGAGAACAACGAAAGCCATCATCCAGAAGATACAAGTGTTTATTAACAGTTGTCTACGCAAAATACTTCATATTCGTTGGCCAGACACCATCAGCAACATCATACTGTGGGAGAGAACAAACCAAATTCCAGTGGAGGAGGAAATGAGGAAGAAGCGGTGGAAGTGGATAGGACACACACTACGAAAAGCAGCTAACTGCGTCACCAGACAAGCCCTCACATGGAACCCTCAAGGCAAAAGGAAAAGAGGAAGGCCAAGGAACACACTACGCCGAGAAATAGAGATAGATATGAGAGGAGTGAACAAACATTGGACAGAACTGGAGAGGGAAGCCCAAGACAGAGTTGGTTGGAGAAAACTGGTTGGCGGCCTACGCTCCATTGGGGGTAACAGGCGTAAGTACGTAAGCAATTAACGTCTCCAACATACTTTCCTGGAACTGTTCATATCGTTTTCCTTGACGTTCCAGTAAAGATTCTATCTGTTCAAGGGTAGTTGACATTGTGGATTGCAAACCTCGTCGACTCTGTAAGGGTTGTCTGCTTGAGTAACGACAACACCGGACGTTAGACTCCCACCGTTCAAAAAATAAGAAGACGGAAGACGTTGGAGAGCACTTATTAACGGAATCAAAAGTATACTATAAAAAATGCGTATTTATACAGTTATTTATATAATCGACATTGTCCTTGAATTATTGAAACATTTAATCGATAAGTTCAGTGATCGACTGCCCTTGAAATATCTAAGCATTTAATCGATAAGTTCGTCGATCGACTACGTGCGTAGGTGGCTTCCCGATGGCTATCCCAACACATTGATCAACAAGGTGGATTTGATGCAGATGGGAATGCGTGGTTTGGCAAAGCAAGGATAGCACTTCCACAATTGTAGAACATCGGCAACTTAAAGGAACTGTCAACCAACACCAAAGTCGAAATTTTCAGTACAAACGATAGGACGTTTCTGTCGAATAGGGCCGAAACTTGGAGAACAACAAAGGCTATCATTTAAAAGATGCATGTGTTTGTTAACAGGTGTCTATGCAATATAATTTAAATCCATTGAATCAGAGGTCATAATCAATAACCCACGCTGTCAGAGGAAAAACCAGACTTCCGCTGGGGACGAAATCAGGAAAAGGTGCTTGGGGTGGATAGTAAACATATTGCATTAATCACCCAACTGCGTTAATACGCTACACATATCTTGGATTTCTCATGACCAAAGGAAAAGTAGTCGATAAAATAACACGCTTGCTTAGAATCATATGCAAACATGGAACGAATGAATGGTGTTTGGGAATAACATCAAAGTGGAGCTCAGGTTACAGTTGATTTCAGCAGCCTTTACACTCGAGGGAGTAACAGTCGTGGTTAAGTAGGCAACTAACTACAATGTTTTCCAAATACTTTTGAAAGTCTAAACTGCAATCGAATTCGCGCGCTGTGGTCGACAAATCGCCGTCTTGAGGTTAATCATCTAGTACAGCAACCCTGTCGTATTCCGAAATAATGAAATTCTCGAATGTTTGCTCTGTTTATTTGCTTACTTGTAGGTTGTTTAGTACATAGGAATTCTTTGACATTTATTATATTGCGTTTGCGTATTCTTTTAAAATGAGTCAATCATTACTCGTGTCATAATTCCTGCGTTTCCTTATGCCCTTAAAGCCTTCGTTGATGAAACCCTCAAAGGCTTTCAAGGCTTTCCGCTGAACGTAGAAAAAGGATAGCTTAAAGGAACTATAGGTGTTTTACTGCATCATCTAAGTTCCCGCAGCTTTACGATATACTTCCAACATCCATTTCATTTACAACTACCAAGAATAAACTAAATGATTTTGTTAGAGAAGTTAGGTCCCCAGAACTCACTTGGAAATGGTCCTAATACAGGATTTTTTATGTCTTCGCGCATACGTTGCTTAGTTGACCTTAAGCTTACAGTTCCCACTCGGAAAATCTCCGACTGTCATTGGTTAATGGAGTATTTTTGTGCGACGACCTAGATCTTTTTAAGTTGTAACACCAACTATACACCTGCTCTTTTGTAAATTAATGAAGACAGTTCTCTAGTAAGATAACGAATGTGCAATAGTATAAATAGAGGAAATTCAGAAGAAATAAACTGTTGGAAATAAAACTGATTTACAGAATATAATGATGAAGCGCAGCGATCTGATGATTCTGTGACATTTTACTTATCCTTTTCCTTTTTAATGCTGTAGCTGAAGATGCCAAGAGTGGGCTCTTTTATACCATAATTTTCTACATCTGCTTGCAATAGGACTTCTTGGTAGAGACAAAAACCAGTTCAATGTTACAAACGTCAGTCGTAGACGAGATTAACAAGGAAAAGCAACACCAATATCATTGACTTGTTAATGACATCAAACCATTCATATCTATTCACCAACTTATCACTTCAATCCGTCTCTTGTTTATTAACCTGTTTAGTGATAACGGTTACATAAACTTCTGGTCAAATGATGAAGGCGTTCAAATTTGCGATTTTTCATGCAGAAACGAGCCAGTCTCGTAAAACATAATGAGACATAATTGTTATAATAATTTTAATACTCTTTAACAAATGCCCTCATGTACAATGAATAAATACCAACCACAGATTAACTGATAAATTCATTAAGAGTATCGTTTTCAGATGATTAAGCTATCACACTCTGTATGGCATTGCAATCTTGGAACTGTAACGAAGCGTCAGAAAGAGAGCAAAGATACCCAAATTAGTATACATTGATAAGTCAGAATGCTGTCGAATACTGAAGGCGCAACTATAATAAATGGAGGCCTTGGAGTTTAGCACAAACCTCACGGGTATAACGGCATGTGGTCTATGCAGGCAGTCAATGGAGTTTCAGTAACTCCCAGTTGAATGAAACAACCAGACGCGCAATCTAATTGGTGAGGGTTTATGAATAAAGTTTACGAAGATAGACTCTAGCCTCTGGAATTTTTCCCACAGAGTTATAGGTAAATAGGAAGTAATTTGATAATATATTTATTCTCAAATAACTACGTTACAAGAGTCACGCCAGTTTACAGTCTAGATCAAA